GGGGGGGGGGGGGGGGCTACTCATGTTTTTGCATGCCTTAGTTGTTAGATTTGAAAACAAGAGGGGGTGCTCATCTTTCAGTAGCCTTTGCAAGAACATGTTGGATAAAGAATACAGTCGGGGAAGCTGGGTTAGGGTTAGGGAATAGGGTCTGCGTACCCCCTCCCTGTTCTATTTCCTTATACAATAGGGTTAGGGTTAGGGAATAGGGTCTGCGTACCCCCTCCCTGTTCTATTTCCTTATACAATAGGGTTAGGGTTAGGGAATAGGGTCTGCGTACCCCCTCCCTGTTCTATTTCCTTATACAATAGGGTTAGGGTTAGGGAATAGGGTCTGCGTACCCCCTCCCTGTTCTATGTCCTTATACAATAGGGTTAGGGTTAGGGAATAGGGTCTGCGTACCCCCTCCCTGTTCTATTTCCTTATACAATAGGGTTAGGGTTAGGGAATAGGGTCTGCGTACCCCCCTCCCTGTTCTATTCCCTGGTATTGCTGCATTCGCGAAGGCGGTCCTCATGTTTGACAATGCCTTACAAGCGGCTAGGCCATTGACCACGCGTCCTCGTGCGGGGGGAGCGTCCTCATGTTGCATGACTTCGTTGCTAGGCCATGGGGGGGGGAGGAACATGCTACTACTACGAGAGGAAACCCAGTCGTTAGCGTGATATGCACAAATGCAACACATGTATACGGGGGGGAAGGCGAAGTCATGAAAAAAAAAAAAATCAAACACACACTTACACAACCAGGCGGGACGGAAAAAAAAAAAAATGAAGAACATGGATGCATACGGAGGCTGAGACAGTTCAATGAAGCCGCAAGTCATTGCTGTCTTGCATAAACCGCGTCGTGTCTATTTACTCTGTTGCTCCTCCGAGCTGATAAAAAAACAACAACCGAAGCCGCAATTTATCGCTGCCTTGAACTACAACAGCATCGTCTTGCATAATGTTGCTCCCACAGCAGACAACAAAAAACGTGGAATGGTAAACCGTTTTAATATGGGAGTTGAAAAAAAAGCTGCATGTCTTTTTGCAACTTTGGTAGGGTTCGTCCATAGAAATTTTGGCGCACGCTCCTTATGGGACCAAGAAACTTTTATGCACGGGACTGGCAGAATACGGGGGCGTTACGCTGTTTATTTTTTTCTAGCAACGGCGTGAAGCAGGCAACATATCACACCGCGAAAAAACGGCCAGAGCGTGCGGGAGAGGGTAGTTGCAACCTGTTTTCTCGACACTCGCGATACCCCACGACATCTAACCTGTTACCAGAAAGATGCTGGGTAGAGTTAGCTCCCTCGGGGTAGCATTGCTGTTGCTGTTGCCTCCTCCTTCGAAAAGTTATCACTGGAAAAAACAAACCATGGGCGCACAATCCCCGCGGACTTGAACCAACCGCTCTCTGGCGTGGGTATTTTAGGGTCAATCAAAACGTTTTCCGACGCGCACGATACCCCACGGCACCAAACTTTGGGCATGAAAGATGGAGCAGAGAGCTACCTCCCGCCGAGTGGTCTTGCCATTGTTGTTGTTTCCTCCTCCGGAAAGTTATTGGTGGACAACCAAACTCGTGGCGGTCAAAAACACTAAACTTGAACTAAACGCTCGCGGCCGTTGACGGTCGTGAGTCAACACACACTTTTTCTCTTGGCGCATTCGTCACCTAACGGCGCCAAACCTTGGCATTGCCCAACAGCCCATGGTGTTCACCTCCTTCCAGATACCATTCATGAGGCAACTCGTTATGTATTCGTCGAGATATCGATGATCACGGCCTTCCCACAACCGAAGCTGGAGAGAGTCCACGTGTGCGGTACCGGTATTGTAGCAGCTCAATTTGGATAGGCGGAGGTTGCGCGGCGCAACTTTCATTCGACACCTTCGTCGCGAGAAAAGTTGCGGAACTTCATCTCCAGATTGTAGCTTTTACTCCGGAGAAAAAGTTTCATTTTTTTTTTGTGTAGCATTTCGCTCCCATAATGAGCGCACATGCAAAAAGTTGCGAGAAAAGTTGCTACAGTTTTTTCGCAACATTCCCATAAAAAGCGGTGTAAGACCAACGATGTCGACCCAAAGGAAATGCACGACAGAGGTAAGGCCAGGTCTAACCTTACGCATGCCGGCAGATTGGGCATCGATTACNGGGGGGGGGGGGGGGGGGGGGGGGGGGGGGGGGGGGGGGGGGGGGGGGGGGGGGGGGGGGGGGGGGGGGGGGGGGGAGGAAGTATACACACACCCCGAAGTGGGCAAGAAATCCCGCATCTTGGACTGACACGGCGGCCTGGTAGCGTACGCGTGCTCAAGGTCGATCCCGCCTTTCCTCCACCCAACCAACCCTTTGGCAGTTCACAAACCTAGACCTCCGGCCGCACCAGTGTATGGCAAAGAAACAACAAAAGCAAGCGCACCTCTTGCCCGGCGCCCGCAATGTTCCTCCCCAACTCCGAGATCTCGTCCCACAGCACCTCGTGCTCCGCTCGCATCAACAGCACGGGCGGGAGACCTTTCAACAACCGCTTCTTTGCCCTGTGAACCAACCGGTTTTTACACGGCAGTGTGTGTTCCACTAAGCGAAACAACAAATGACACATACATGTTAGCAAAAATACCCTGTGACCACAGAAGGCATCAGTTGGACCGGAACGGTGATTGGAAGGCACCGAGCAGAGTGTTGGGTACTGCATGTGCTCCCAAGGTTTAGGGCAAGAGTTTCGCCACGGAGCGGTGTTGTAGGGTCTCAGCGGAGAACCCACAAAGGCAAACACGCTCAAGACGGAGGCACGACACCCCCGACATTTCGAAGCAGGAGGGCACACGGATATAGATTCAAAATGTTGGAAGCGGAGCCACAAACTGGAAAAAAGGACCAAACCAGAGTGGGGGAGAGTAGGATTTGTTTGGTACCAGGAAACCAATGTACATGCATATTTTCACAGGAACATGTACGTTCATACTTCAACCTAACACTGTGTATGATACGAGTGTTAGACTGCGGTATAACAGAGAGGTTTCCGTCGTGCAATCAACACTCCGACCAAACTGGAGCACAATAAACACCTTTGAATCCGTGTGCTCTCTTGTTCCGAATAAGTCTGTACAAAGGCGTGTGAGGTTCCTCCTGTTGCCGCACAAGCGAATTGGAAGGAGAGTGGGTCTGACCAGCAATCCTACGACTCAAATCTCAACCAATCAGCGGTTGTTCCAGCGGCCATTCATCCAGGGCCTGAACGAGACCCGCGCAAGCGCAGCAACACTAACGGTGCGTGTCGGAAAACACACACACACACATGGCAGATAGAAGTGTTTTGTGTTTTCAACCGCACGGAGACTGACGTCTTTTCATTGGTCAGCCGGTCAGCGCGGTCGATGCTAATAATAATGATGCACACACACATACTCGACAAAAAAAAAAATGACAAAAAAAAAGAAAAACACCTGATGGGCGACGCCAGCGGGTGCCGTCCATCCTTCTCGCTCCGGAGGTACCACTCCCAGTATCCTTTCATCTGACCCCCTTCTAGCCCGTAACCTTGTTCGGTTTTTGTTTCATTTTGTCACGAACAAAGTAGAGAAGACCAGGGGGCAAGAAAAGGGCGGAGAAAAATGAGAAACAACAAGAGGCGTTTCTCGCACGGCACGACGACTATGTACACACACACACGAAAGGGCAGCGGCACAACAACAGAGGCCATCACAGCAGCAGCAGCAGCAAAGACAGCAGCAAAGACAGCAGCGACAAAGACAGCAGCGGCGGCAGAATCGCAAGAGTGTTCGAAGACGGAAAGCACCTTGGAAATCATGAGCAGCAGCAACGTGTGGGCTCACAACCGACGAGAGTCCTTTCATGCGCGACTAACATAAAATCATCAGCGGCAACGTGTGGAACTAAAAAAGCTTTCATTCCCTTTACAGCAGAAATACACACATCAAGCGCTGCGATCGCTCCCTCTCTCTCTCTTTCTCTCTCTCTCTCTCTCTCTCTCTCTCTCTCTCTCTNCCCGACGATCCCGGCTCGGGGTGCTCGTAGCTCATGGCGTGCTCGTAGCTTACGGGGGCAGACGCCGCCACCACCGCGCACAGGTCGCTCTTTCGTGACACGAAGGGAATCCACGTCTTGCTATCTAGCAGCGCTTTTTTTGTTTTTCATCCAGGTTACGAAAACGACAGTGAAGCACAGAGGCGATGCAGGTGGGGACGAAAAAGGAG